TGAGGGTCTCCTGCTCTACGGTGAGGTCTCCTTCCCCCCCGCCTCCACCTCCCCCCACCCCCCAGTCCCGTGGCAAGTTCGCCTGCCCCACAGCAAGATTTTCTACCACACAGCAAGGTCCCCAGGCATCCCAACCTGCGGTGAGCTCCTCTGCCCCATGGTGAGGTCTTCTGCCCCTTCCCCAGTGACCCCATCTGCCCAACGGCAAGCTTTTCCTACCCTGTGCCAACGGTGAGCTCCTCTGCCCCATGGTGAGGTCTTCTGCCCCTTCCCCAGTGACCCCATCTGCCCAACGGCAAGCTTTTCCTACCCTGTGCCAAGGTCTACCCCACCATGAGCCCTGTGGTGAGGTCTTCTGCCCCACTCCAGCAAGCTTATCCGCCCCACAGTGACCTCATCTGCAGCTTTTCCACCCTGTGGTGAGGTCTCCCACCCCACCATGAGCCCCATGGTGAAGTCTGCTGCCTGTCCCCACCCCCCCGATGAGCTTATCCACCCCACAGCAATCTCTTCTGCCCCACAACAACCTCGTCAGCCCCATAGCAAGCTTTTCCACCATGTGGCAAGGTCTCCCACCCCACAGTGAGCCACAACAAGCTGTTCTGTCCCACAGCAAGCTCATCTACGCTCTGGGAAGGTCTCCTGCCCCACAGTGAAGTCTCCTGCCCCATGGAAGACCCTGTGATCCGCATACCCCCCTACCACTATGTCCATGTGCTGGACCTCAACAGCAATGTCACTCGCGTGGAGGTTGGGCCCCACACCTACATCCGGCAGGATCACGAGAGGTGGGTGCTATGGGACAGGGGGGGCACCTATGGGTTGAGGGGGTCCGTTTCCTACATCTGGCAGGACCAAAAAAGGTAGGTGCTGTGGAAAAGGAGGGGTTCTATAGGATGATGGGTGCCACCCCTATGTCTGGCAGGACTACAAAATGTGGGTGCTACAGGGCAGGGGGTGGATTTATATGGCTATAGGGCGATCTAGATTTATAAGTGCACGGTCTCTGTAGGGCTGTGGGGGGTGTTTGGGGGACTCTGTAGGGCCATGAAGGGCTTGAGAGGATCTGTGGCACCACTGGCACTCTTTAGGGCTGGGGGGATGCTGGGGGGCTCTTTAGGACTATGGGGACTCTACGGACCCTGGGGGGCATTGGGGTTGTATAGGGCCATGGGGGTGTTTGGGGGCTCTGTAGGGCCATAGGGTCTCTATAGGGTCATAGGGATTCCATAAGGCTGTAGAGGGCCATAGGAGGGCTGTGGGGCTCTACAGGACTGGGGGACTTGATGGGCTTTATAGGGCCCTTGGGGGTTCTATAGGGCTTTATAGGGCTTTGGGGGTTGGGAGGGTGGTGAGCTTTGTAGGGCCCTGGGGGCTCTATAGGTCCGAGGGGAGCAACGCGGGGCCGCCCGCAGGGTGATGTTCGCCCCCAGGCGCATGGTGATGGTGCCCCCACGGCACTACTGCGTGGTGCTCAACCCTGTGGCCCGGAGCCCTACGGGGGCTGTGCTGGTCGATGGAGCAGGGCAGGCCCGTCTGCGGCACGCTGACCTTGATATCCGCCTGGCCCAGGAGCCCTTCCCCCTATAGGTCTTTGGGTTGGGAGGGTGGTGAGCTTTGTAGGGCCCTGGGGGCTCTATAGGTCCGAGGGGAGCAACACGGGGC